CCCCAAAACCCCAAAACCCCAAAACCCCAAAACCCCAAAACCCCTTTTTTAAACACAAAAATTGAACTCACCAATATTATTTTGGAGCTCTTGTGATGTATATTCGCAACAGGTTCCAGAATTATAAAGTTGTATCAAACAAAGTTATATAAATACAACAATTATCTATTCTTTGAGAGCAAAGCTAAGATTTTGAGAAAGAGCACAATGATGTCGATATAGAGAATCAGGGCTCCAATGATGTAGTCTTCCTCAGACAATTGCCATGTCTTTCCTCCGCAAACCAATTGTGTATCAATCAGGAGGTAAAATCCGTATACAATGATTCCTAGTGAAACATATACAATGTTGAGCACCTGGCTTCTGAAGATCAAGGAGAAGATACCAAACAGGAGGAGGGTACCTGCTAGTACAAAGACTGCTCCCCAGCACAATGTGAAATCAATTTTAGTTGTGCATGCAAAAATAGTCAATATTAAAGTGAGTCCTCCAGTCATGAGAGCTGCAATAAGCACTAGTTCTGCATTACCAACTGAAGCGCATGCATAGGCAACTACGATGCTTTGGAAAAACACGAATGATAGCAGGAGAATGTAGTTAAGAGGCACTCTTCTTGCAACTTTGATGAAGTACATCAAGATACAAAGAGGAACAAAGGAAAGAATTGCTGCTGTGATCAAGATCCATATGTTGCTTTCCAGGTAATCCTGGACACTTTTGCTAACCGTAGGTCCAATACAGAGTAAGGCAGTGAAGCCTAGGCAGAAGACGAGGATAGAGTACACCTTAATAATGAACCCTCTCCTAATTTCCTTCATGAACTCTTTATCGTCTTCGTCCATGTACTCCCTCATTTGTGGAGGGGTGTTTGGCTTCATGTCGCTCGTCGGTGGCTGATACATTGGTTGGTTCCTACAGAGAATTTAATTTACAAAGAAAATTGATGTTAGAGAAATATCAGAACTGAAAGGACATTTTATGTTGAAATAGAACCCAAAGTTGGTCTAGAGGCTTACATTTGTTGGTGGTTTGGCTGGATCTGGTTCTGAATATGCATTTGATTAGGAGCTGGCTGAGCTTGGTACTGAGGAGAGTATTGGGGATCATATTGTGGTTGCTGAGCGTATTGGTCAGGATGCCCATATTGATGTCTATAGGTTAGGTCTTGCTGTTACTGATTTTGATACGGATTATTGCTAGCGTTGAGCGGCTGCTGGTCATCATGATTATTGTAATTCATATTATTACCACTTAGTTGAAATTTTATAGAAATCAATAGGATTTAATTTTTAAGGGGTTTTGGGGTTTTGGGGTTTTGGGGTTTTGGGGA